GGAGGAGGAGGAATCCGCACAGACGCGGGGGCAGAACAAGCCCGCGAGAGCATCACAGAAGCCCTCGGTCTTGTTGTGCCTCCTGCTCCTGCTATCCCCGCGGGCTTGTTTTTTGATGCCCTCGGGCTTCTTGATGCCTTCGACATGCTTTATACCACGTGCGGGTTGTTTCGATGCCCTCGTAAACTGTCGGAGGTCCGCGCGGAGTTCTTGGCTCTGCGCTGGTCCCCCCTACCTTGCGCGCGGGGCGCGCCCGGGGCGCCGCTCAGGGGAGTCCAACGCCGATCCGAGAAACCCGCGCGGACCTGCACAAGCTTGCCTTCATACAGCGGCTTCGTCTTTGTCCTGCTTGTCATGGTGCTGATGTTGCATGTGTGATTCGTGGTGTTGCGGCGCTTGCTATGATCCTTCCTGTTCCCCAAACCTGGCTTGCACTTCGGGGTCCTCGCCTGGCCATCGCTCGGACGCCCATTCCCTGTTTTTTTTTTTCGGTTTCGTGCGTGGTTTTTTCGCGAAATGGTCAAGGATGCTCCTCGATGGTCCTCGCCGAAGGAAAAAGGCACACGCCCGAGCGATGCCTAGTCACTTCTGTTCGAAGGGGCTGGGCCGTGACTTCGGTCTGGCGGCTCTGTGGCCGCCGCCGCCACCCCGTCGCCGCCTTCGCCGCCGCCCGTCGGTCTGGGCCGTAACTTCGATCTGGCGGCTGTGCGGCCGCCGTGTGCGCTCCGTCGCCGCCCGTCGTCTTGGCCGCCTTGTGGTACCTTGCGGTGCGCTGCTGTGCACGGCTTTGCGCTGCTGGGTTCTGCAAATGGCATCCCTTTAGTCTGCGGCGTTTCGTTTTTCATGTCGTTGCTCTGCGTCGAGTTGATTAGCACTGCGTTGCACTGCTACGCCGCGCCACGCGATGCATTGCACACGTAGCTTGCACAACATATCTTCTCCGTGGAAAGAATATAGCTCTACCCCCCGGGGATTATCACGACCCTCTTGCGTATTGCAATTCACGCGCGATTCTGCCCCATCGTCCGTCCTAAGTGTGAGTTCGCACCATCTCAGCCGAGCCGGTTCCCCCCCCCCGCCATCCTCTGCAACAAATACTATGCGCTTATTCAAATCAGCGGTTTTCCAGAATCCCTTGCAAAAAAAGAGCACGAAGTGCACACGTTCGCGTTGTCGCGCGCGCGTGCCACAATGTGTCAAACAATTCAAAAACCGAGTATCTAAACACTGATAAAACAAGTGTTTCGCAACACGGATTTTCAAACCAACAAAAAGTTTGCGCGCGCTGGTGCGAATTATTTTTAAAAGAAGAAGAAGACGGGGAACAAAAAAACGGTTCTTCATCACTGTTGAAAAAACTACTAAACGGGCTCGCGTGTCGAAATCGTTCGAACGCCCCTGCGCGCGTGCCGTCGCGAGAACCCTTTTTGCAAACAGTGGCGTCGAACCGCGCGCATGCCAAAATCCGTCAAACACTTTTCTGGTTTCGTAACGATATCAAAACCGAGTGTCCGACTAACATATAACAAACACATGGTTTCGCAACACGGACTTTCAAACAAAGCGTGCGCTCGCGCCCTTGCAAAGTTTTAACAAAAAAAACATGGGTTTTCAACATGTTCATGGAATTATGCCAAGCGGGCCTCTCGCGCAGCATGCCGACATTATTCGAACGCCCTTGCGCGGGTGCTGGGGGGGGGCACGATCAGTGTCAAATAAAGCCATGCGGCTAGTCTCGCGCGTCGGCCGCGCGCGCATGTTGAACTCTGCCCAAAACCTTCATCACCGACGCGAGGACGCCGTCATCGTCGTCGGTGTGATCAACATCGGCGCCGCCATTGAATTTGACTTTGTCGTCGTCAACATCGACACCATCGCGACTACCATCACCGTGTCTACCGTCGTCGACGTTGCCAGGATACCGCCCCCGCCCAAGTCACCGACTCGCACTGAAGTGCCCGCTGGCAAGTGGCAAGCAGTCAGCGCCACCGCGGCCGCGTCGGTCGCGCCAAACTAGCTGGCCGCTGCGCGCGCGCATGCGCCGGCTAGCGCGGTCGCAGAGACGCACCAGCCAACGCCAAGCACTCACAAGCACTCATCGCAATCGCCACCGCATGGGTTTTGCAAACCAAGTTCCGGGTGGTACGTTTCCAAGAGCATGGGAAGTGGTCAAGCGCGGCGCAGGGTAATGAATTCGATTTTCTGAAAAGGAAATAGGTCCCCCCCCCTCCCCCCCCGGGACTTATCGATTCCCCGGGAACCTATGCAAAACACATATGATCCTGACCCAATGTCCATATCCCAGCCAGGCCGGCATCGGCCCCCCTTCAGTTCCCTTGCAAAAAATACTATGCGCGCGCACTCGCTCATCTAACATCATAAGTTGTCAAAAACCCTTTGGAAAGAAAAATGCACACGCGCGCGCGCCGTCGCGCGCGTGCTGAAATCCTTCAAACACCGTCGGTGTCGGAAGGATTTCAAAATCGAGTGTCCGAAAAACTGATTAGAACACCGGGCTTCGCAACACTGATGTTCAAAAAAAGCGTGCGCGCGCTGTTGCGAATTCTTAAGTAAATCATATGTTCCAACACGTGGATAACATGCTACCAAACGGGCTCCGCGCACGCGCATGTCGAAATCGTTCGGACGCCCTTGCAAGCGTGCTGGGGTGGTACGATCCGTGTCAAATAACACCATGCGAGCCACTCTCCCGCGTTTGCCGCGCGCGCATTTCGAATTCCTTCCAAATCCTGCATCACCGACGCGAAGACGCCGTCATCGTCGTCGGCGCGATCAGCATCGGCGCCGTCACTCGCTGCCCCGTCGTCGCTGCCGGCATCGTCGCCAACGTCGCTACTATCATCATCGTGTCTACCGTCGCCGACGTTGAGATGATACCGCGCCCGCCCAAGCCGCCGACTCGCACTCAAGTGCCCACTGGGATGTGCCGAGCAGTCAGCGCCACCGCGGCCGCGTCGGTCGCGCCAAACTAGCTGGCCGCCGCGCGCGCGCATGCGCGGGCTAGCGCGGCCGCAGAGATGCACCAGCCAACACCCAGCACTCATTGCAATCGTTCCCGCATGGGTTTTGCAAACCAAGTTGCGGGTGGGCGGGTGAGATGATTGCGAGAGCAGTGGAGTTGCCCTCCAGACTTATCCTGCCCCGGGAACCGATGCAAAACGCATAGGATTCTGACCCAATGTCCACCCGACCTGTGATTTCAGAGCATCTCTGCCAGGCCGGCATCGGCCCCCCTCGGTTCCTTTGCCAAAAAAACTACGCGCTCTCAGTCGTTCATGAAGCATCATAAGTTTTCAAAAGTCCATTGCGAAAACAAAGAAAACGAAGTGCACACGCGCGCGCCGTCGCGCGCGAATGCCGAAATCCTTCAAAAACCGTCGGTCTCGGAAGGATTTCAAATCGATTGCAAAAAAAAAAAATGCTTCGCAACACTGATGTTCAATAAAAGCGTGCGCGCGCGCCCTCGCGAATTCTTAAGAAAAGCGAATTCTTAAGAAAACCAAGAGCTTCTCTACACGTTCAGGAAAATACTACCAAACGGATTTCGCGCGCGCATGTCGACATCATTCGAACGCCCTTGCGCGCGTGCCGTCGCGAGAACCCCCTGCAAAAAAACAGGACGCAATGCGCGCGCGTCGTCGCGCGCGCGTGCCGACATCCTTCAAAGACGCTCCGTTTCGGAAGGAATTCAAAACCGAAGGTCCAATAAACATGTAAAGACATAGGGTTTCCCACCAATGATGTTGAACAAAAGCGTGCGCGCGAGCTCTTGCGAATTCTTCATATATCTATATATATATATATATATATATATATATATATATGTACGTGCGTGTGTTGTTCAACACGTTGGCAACATGCTACCAAACGGGCTTCGCGCACGCGCATTTCGAAATCGTTCGAATGCCCTTGCGCACGTGCTGGGGTGGAACGACCCGCGTCAAGCAACGCCACGCGAGCCACTCTCCCACGTCTGCCGCGCGCGTATTCCGAACCCCTTCCAAAACCTTCATCACCGACGCGAAGACGCCGTCATCGTCGTTGGCGTGATCGGCATCGGCGCCGTCATCGCCATGATGATGATGATGATCATCATCATCATCATCATCATCATCATCATCATCATCATGGTGCCTACAACTGTCGTCACCAGCGTCGCCACTATCATCGCCATCGCGTTTCCACTTGTCGACGTTGCCATGATACCGCACCCGCCCAAACCGCCGACTCGCACTCAAGTGCCCGCTTGGATGCGCCGAGCGGTCAGCACCACCACGGCCTCGTCGGTCGCGCCAAACTACCTGGCCGCTGTGCGCGAGCGCATGCGCGGGCTGGCGCGGCCGCAGAGACGCACCAGCCAGCGCCAAGCACTGATCGCAATCGCCGCCGCATGATGTTTGCAAACCGAATTGCGGGTGGGTGGGCGGGATGTGTCCGCGAGCAGTGGAGTGGGCCACTCACTGCGAGCAAAGGTTAATTGCACCGCAGGAATTGCACCACATGGTTTGTTGCACAACGTATATTGCACAACACACGTTGCACCCCGCGGGGTTTATAGCATCAATATAAATATAGATAGATAGATAGATAGATAGATAGATACGTATGTAATTCCTCCAGGAATGACATTTTTAAGAAGCCACCACATTTACTGTGCAGGTGTGCACACATGTGGCGCGAACCACAAAGAAATGTCAGGGCGAGACGTGGCCTAGAACTCGCCCATCGGCCCGTCGGGCAGAAGCCGTGGCAATCTGATGACTGCGGTATGCCCGCTGGGCGTCGCGACGCCATTCGCAATCAACTGAAGTCAAGTTGTTGCGCAGTACTATCGCTGAGGCGAGCACAGTGAGCGAGCACGAACGTTCGACACTGAGGCCAGCGCGTGTCGGATAAGTGAGACATGAGGCGAAAGCGCGAGACAAAATCAGTGCCGCGGCATGGGCACTTGGATCCAAACACATAGAAGCGCAATTCAT